CGGGATGTCGCGGCCCTCAAGGTGTCGACTGGCTGAAACTCAGCGGTAGTTCGCATGCAAAGCCGCATCATCCTGGCAGGGCAGGTCCAGATAGCCGACCGCCGAGGACAGTAGCGCGTGGTGTTGCTGCGCTGCACTTGGGCTGGTTTTGTTGTGCTGTGTGTGTTCATGGTGAGCTTTTTGGATGGCACCTGCGTATTGCTTTTGCTGTTACACTTTGTGGTGCTTTGTCTTGTGTTTTCCAGTGTTACGTTAGCACTTCACGTGAATTCGTGATAACCAACGCGTGGAAGAATTCTGCCAAATGACTATGATCATGATTATTTTTATGATTTTGTCAAGAGCCATTTGCGGTGCTAAATGCTTTTTTACAAAATGTTCCGTAGCTGTCCCTGCTCAGGAAATGTGCCCATGGTCGACTTTGGGCCCGTTGTCTACACAGGGTCCCCCGTTAGGCACTGTCGTCCACTGACAAGCACAGGTGACCCCTCACCGTTTCAGGGGACCGACCAATGCAAGAGGCCTTCTGATTGACATTTACAGGCTCTCCCTCGTCCCTGCTTGGGAAAGAGCCCTCTGGGGCCTAGACCGGTACGGAGTCAACTGTTCGGTATTGGTGGTCTAAGTCAGCTGATGTCAGACCCTCACTGTCTCGAGGGCCCCCGAGCGGTGCGACAGGTCTTCTCGCTGATATTTTAGGGTCAGAGCTGGGCTACCTTGAATATGACCTCCGGCCTGCCCATCTGACCCTCCGATCGAGTTTTTCGCCGTGGGCACAGTGAGCGCTGACATATGGTTTCTCCCAAAAAATAAAGATCCCCGGACCCTTTATGGTGCCTTGGAGTTGGTCGTCACTTGAAAAAATTTGCTGCCCTTTGTGTTGCCCTCTGGAATTGAGTGCCTCTTGCAAATTAAGATTACCATACCAAAAGGAAAGCTTTTGGTGCCCTGCACCGAGGGAGCTGATCCAGAATTTCATCAGGGGGGAAGGCAAAGAAATTGTGGTGCCCCTATAATTGGTGCCACTTGAAATCGAGACCTGCGGCCGTTTGCACCGCTCGCTTCCGTTTGGTGCCTTTAGAGAACGAATATCATGGTACCTTGAATTTAATGTTTTGGTGCTTTTTCGCGAGATGGCCGTCCAAGGATTTAGTCAATGGAAAGAAGCGGACATCATGATGTCACTTGGAATAAGTTGCCTCTTGAAAATAAATTTCTTGGAGTCTGTCCTGTTGCTGCCTGGAGCTAGACGACTCTAGAAAATTAAGTTGATGGTGCCCCGAAACGAAGGTTGTGGTGTCGGTCCACCAACCGGAGAAATGCAGCATTTTGTCAGGGTTAACGGTAAAGCTATCATGGTGCCCCCTGGATTTTCGTCTCCTTAAAAATAAGGACCTTGGGCCGTTTAAATGGTCCGCTTTGATTTGTTGCTAAATAATGATAAAGGCTGTGGTACCCAAAAATGTTTCATTAAGAAATCAGAAGGAAAGAAAGCTTTGGTGTCCGCGCTCCCGAGCAAACGACCCGGGAATTCGTCTTGGTGGGAAACGGAACATGATTGTGTCGCTGGAATCCGGTACCTCTTGCTAATAAAGGTTTGGGGTCATTGTGGTGCTATCTGGAAAGGAGTGCACTCAAAAAATATATGCTATAGTGCCCCGAAATGAAGGTTTTGGTGCCCGGTCAACTTGTGACTTAAGTGTTCTCACAAGGCAGCAAAACGTTGTTGGGCCCCATGGGGCAGGGTATAGCTCTATGCACCCTCCCATGCAGAAAAATGTATCACTGCCCTTGTTCAGGGTATTTGATGACGCAAAATCAATATTAATACGGGGAGATAACAGAACTGAACTAACCAAGAAAAAATAAAATATTGACCGCTCAGCTGATGGTCTAAGTCCTAGTACTTCTCGGTTTTGGCGAGAGACCCAGGGCTGCTCCATGTCCGCTGTCACCAATCTTCGAGCCATGCAATAAAAAGCACAAACTTTCAAAACCATGGTCAAGAAACTAGTTCCAACGGGAATCGCAGAGAGAGTTTTGGGACAAAGTAAAATCGAATGCAGGATTTGACAGCCCGCCTGTGAGACAACGTGTTGGCAAAGCACAAAACTCTTAGCTCGTAGCCTTATGTAAATGACTATTATTTATATTTGGCCTGGACCTGTTTGGTGTAGCGTTGAGTATTGTACGTTTAAGCTGAAAAAATATGCATGAGGTACAAAACATGGACCATGTCATAAGTTCAGTATGCTTCTGGTCTCTCCCAAACAGGGACACAGCTAGGGGTGCCAGACCTCTATTTCAGGCCCGGATTTTTCATTTTCCACTTCAAATGACAGAAGGGTGCCGAAAAAGGGAGAAAAAAGTCGGCGGGATACGTACTAATAGAGTTCCGGACTCCTGGCAAAATCATGGCAGTGACTCTGCTCCCAAACATAGTAGTGCGGGTAGCTGGGTGTAGCTTGTTTCACCAGTTAAATTGCGGAGATCGACCCACCACCCCCAAATCCACCCCTGCCCCGGGCAAAAGAGCTACCTCCGCACTTGGATCACAGTCGGTGCATCTGCGGGTATCACCTTGTCCGGTTTGACAAGTCTTGCAAACTGGGTCAACCATGTCAGCTACCTCCATCCGATTTTTGAGCGGCACCCGGCCATCAGCCCACCAGCCCAGAGCGTAAAATTTGCAAAACTGTAGTAAAAGTGCACAGCGTAGCTTACTTACGGGAAATGTTGACTTACCATTAAATTCCACCGACACCGACACCTCCCGAAGCCGACGGCGGACAGCGATGCACCTCGGTGGTAATGCAAGGTGTTCTAGAATGGTCAAGTGAGACAAAAAAAAATGCAGTCACCAAAGCTCAACTCACACTGATTTTATGCAACAAAGCTGTTTCAATGTGTAGTATTTAACTTAAATAACGTGGTTGTGACAACTGCCAAGTGCATGACAACAGTTAGTCATCAGTTTATTAAAAGAAACATAACTATGTTGTAGTCTGCTTCAGGAACACCGCGTAACGCCTGGTACTGCTTATTTAAAAAAAGACGTTGCAATAATAGCTTCATGTGAATAACTACTTTTCCTAAAATTTCCAAAACGTCACATGAGCTTCAACAAGACTTGACTGTGAACTGCACGTGATTTACATTATGTTCAGGCTAAATAAACCACTGCAACTTGACTGCAGCGTCACCTCTCAATCACAAACATATCGTTAAGTGTTACATATCGTTAAACATATCGTTATCGTACACACTTTCGTGTAGACGTCGCTGGCGGCGGTACGCTGAGAACTTTGTGAAAATCGTGAATAGTCTCAAAAGTATTCACGGCGGCGCGCCGAGAAGTTTGTAAAATTAGCGGAGAGTCTCAAAGTCTCCGCAAGAGGGCCGTCCCTCCACATAGTTCCTGAGGTGACAAACTGGTCTCACATGAGACCATGCAGCAAGAGGTTTCATCGTGGAGACCGTGCAGCATCCTTCCAAGAGGATTTACCATGAAAGTTCTCAAAAGTGGTGTTCAGTGTATAAGGATGATTTGCGGAAGATAAGGGAAGGAAATATCAGTCATTTTTGCGGGTAAGCTTTAGCATATGAGAAAAAACGACACCTCCAGAATAACAAAACGACGCATTTGGAATGAAGAACAGCAAAGCATAGATCAGGCATCCTACCCATTTTTAATGCTGATAATTATGCAGACTTCCACTCCGGAGGGGCGATCATACCGCTGCACCGATTTTTTGAACGAATAGAACCGATGTTGCGAAGCTCAGGGCAGAACCATGTGACCTAGATTAAGGTGTAGAAAAGCGTAACTAACGTACCCAGGAATATATAACGTTGAAATGTATCTGAATGTTTGGCTCCAGCTAACCAAAATACATGACTGGCCTTGTCAGTGTCTGTTTTTAATCCTATTGACGTTTCTACCAACAATAGCATCGGATTAAAAGGTCTCAGCGCATTCAAACGTGTGGTGGTCTCATTACTCTACCCACATGGAAGTTCGGCACAATTCTAAGCATGGGAATGTCGGTTTGAGTTTATTGTGCTTTCTTGTTCTTCGTTCTAATCATATTGTTTTGTTATTCCAGATATGTCAATATTCTTTCCCAGATAATGAAGCTCACCCACAAGAATATCAACTAAGATTTCCTTCCCAAGCCTCGCTTCCTTCTAACAGCTCATTTGGTTTGGGCGCCTGCGTTCTGATTCACCAAGGGGAGGTCAGGAAGGGTTCCTGTCGCCATATGCGCTCAATGTTTGACTTTGGCTGGCATGAACTGCGACCGGTAGTAACGGATGCGAGAGAGGTCAGGCGACGTCAGGGGGTCCTGCACTCTGGGATGGAATGCCAGTGCCGCGCGTTGCGGCATGTTAAGCTTTGGCCGTACAATTGCACCGTTGACTCGGTGTTCCACGATCGAATGGTGGTGTAATGGTTCACGAATTCAGCGCCGCTAAACGTGGACGCTGATCCCAGATATTCATGCAATACAAAGTCTAGCATGAAAGCTTTTTAAATGGTGGCTGATGACCTAAATGAATATATGCTATACATGCGCTTGATATATGAACAGAACCAAACGCACAGCAGCCTCTTGAGACATCAGTTCGCACCGATCCCGGTCAAGCTTCATCACCACACCGTCAAACTTATGGGTTGGTTGTCAATGACTTTACACATCTGACCTGCATGCTGCCGAGGGCCCACGGATCAGAACTGTTCCACACAGCCGATTTGTGCTACGTTGCAGTCTAAGGTTCCAGGCTGCACCTTTGAAAAGTGAGGCGCATTCAAGCGCAAAGAGACTTTGTTTTTGCCGTGACTGCGTCATCTTTTGACGCGGCAGGAAGCCATGCTGCGTAGCAGATGACATAAGGTGGAAAAACATCAGCCCATCGTAAAAACTTTCGCAATAACTTCCCAAACATTGAAAGCAGGGAAACAGTTCTACGATAACCTTGCCCGGGCTCGGCGCGCTGACCTGTGTGAGGTCCGGGTAAGTGAACACGGCCAGCTGGTCCAGGTGGTACTTGGTGGCGTAGTCGGGGTGGTGCAGCGCCAGGCACACGCTCAGTGCCGACACGCCCTCGTCCGTCACGTGGTTCACGTCAGCGCCGTGGTCCAGCAGCGTGTTCACGGCTGCCGCGTGACCCCGCATCTGCCGCAGTACGGATGTCCGTGAGGTCAGCTCTGGCCCTGTCACGGGATGGATCTGCAGCTGCTGCAGCGTCACGGCCGATGACAGCGGACCAGTCGGTGCGTGATCAGTTCATGTGTCAACATGTTCTTTCTAAATTTACCTCCCGCTTCCTCTCATATTTGCCATGTCACGTCGATATTTGCAGTTTTTTGGGGGGAGGAGACAGTCACAGGTCAGATCTTGAGTGTCATGTCACGCTTGTATGCATGCTATGTGGTGATAACTCAGACCATACTACGCTCGAGACCTACAGTCGAGCACAAGCTTCAAGACTGAGCCACGAGTAAGATTCTGATCCGTTGGCCGGCGCTAGCACACTTCATCGACAGCTACTGCCCACGATCCCGGCAGCTTCCAGCCGCTTCCACCAGGTGGCAGCCCGACCCGCGTACCGCCGCGCAGATGAGGCCGGTGGTGCCGGCTGAGTCCGTGACGTCAGCGCTGAGGTGTACGGTGCGCAGTAGCAGCCGGATGACGTCAGAGCGGTTCAGCGCGCTGGCGTGCATCAGCAGCAGGCTGGCCCGCTCCAGCCGACCGCTGGGCAGTTGCCCGACGCGGTCAGGCCGCAGAAGCTCCTGCATGTGCACACTGACCACCTCCTGCCGGGGAGAGGTCGGTACAGCTACCCCTGCACGCTCAAGATTACCACCTCCCGCGGAGCGGGTCGGTACGGGAGCCCCTACATGTGCACGGTGACCACGTTCTAAGGAAGTAGGAAAGGTAGCATGGCAGCTCTCATGCGCGCACACTGACCAACTGGTGTAAGAGACGGTCCAGGAGCTTCTGCACACCACACTTACTGGCTACTTTGCAGCCGAGTCGGCACAATGGCCCTCGTGCATACATGCAGACCACATCATGCATATTAAGGAGAAGGTCGTTCGGGTCCGGAAAGAGAGAGAGAGAGAGAGAGAGAGAGAGAGAGAGAGAGAGAGAGAGAGAGAGAGAGAGAGAGAGAGAGAGAGAGAGAGAGAGAGAGAGAGAGAGAGAGAGAGAGAGAGAGAGAGAGAGAGAGAGAGAGAGAGAGAGAGAGAGAGAGAGAGGAGAGAGAGAGAGAGAGAGAGAGAGAGAGAGAGAGAGAGAGAGAGAGAGAGAGAGAGAGAGAGAGAGAGAGAGAGAGAGAGAGAAAGAGAGAGAGGGTATTGCTCACGCTCATGGCGATGACTTGTCGACACGAATACAGGCGACGGAAACTTCTCCAATAGCACGCGTAATTAAGCAATGCTTTATCTATTAAATATCAAAGTTTCATCCCCATTTGAAAGCGAGAGGTTTTGTCTAGGTACCAAAGAACCAAAAAGCGTGCTTAACTTCTGACAGTGATTCGAGAGTCGCTCTATGAAACATCCATCTAACGTCAGTATTCCTCGATTGCAAACTCCCGTACCAAGCGTGCTCTTGGTCCTAGCAGGATGCCTATTTCTGACCCAATTGACTCGCCCATTTGCACTTGGCTGCAAACCTGACCATACGCACGCTCTGGCACATTCTTCGCCCTCGATCAAGCTATGGATACACCCCGTTGGGTCTGTCTGTTTGCGGACAGCGTCGGGCTATCGGCTATGTCCATATTGCTCAAGTCGGAACAAATATGTGCCTGTCACCGGGCCGCCCTTCGCTCGGCGGCCGCGCCGCTCCTACTGACCATGTCCAACCTGCCCGTCTTCTCTGTGCGGTAGGTGTGCTCCTGGACCTCGCAGAGCGCAGTCGTGTCGTTCCAGGCCAGCATGTGGACTGGAGCCAGTGGCCGGGCTGCGGAGCTGTACCTGCCAGCGACAACCGAGGCGATACTGAGCCTGGAAGGGCTGACTCAGCTCACACACCTGCGTGGGCAAGCGAAGTCCCCAAGACCTTCGGCTGAATGAACACTATTCGTTTATGGATTAGTCCTATCTGCAAATATTTGTTTGCAAATTCGTGAGAGCTGTAGCATATTGCATTAGTTTTTTATTGCCTTGCCGGTACCTTCAGTGGAGTAGCATTTTATCTCGTGTCCGGCTCTATACGCCACAGCAGCCGCCATGCACCGCCGGCCATACCGGTGGCTGGGAAAGCCGGCAGTGCGTCGGTCGCGCAGCTTCGGGTTGGTCAGCCGGTCCAGCTGCTCCGGCGGGCAGTCGGCGACGCTCCGACCCCCCTCCAGGCTCTTCAGCACCGTCTCCAGCTGGGTCTCCGGCTCCTGCGGGCAGTGGGGTCGAGGTGGCGCCGTCTCGGCCCTCAGGGCCTCCCCAGCCTTGCGCGGGCTGGGCGGGGAATGGTGATTCACAGGGGGCCGCCAGCCGATGATGAGCCCCCCCCCCCCCCCCGTCGTCTATAGTCGGCGCTGAACTGGCAGAAGGAGGGAGAGAACCTTCCATTGGGAATAGAGGCGCATGCGGTGACTCATATCGTAGCGTGGCGTAGCATCGCACGCATGAAACTGTGGAAAGACCGTGCGGACAGTGATGTCCCGAGTGGGGACGAAATGTGGCCGGGCTGAAAGAAATACGTGGACGAATAATACAAAGATATATAATATATAAAATAACATAAAGGTACAATAAAGAAATGTTATATATAAATATATATATATATATATATATATATATATATATAATAAAATATAGTGACTAGCTTCTGCACACCACACTTACTTGCTGCTTTGCAGCCGCTACTCGCACGCTCGCATGAAACCGTGGAAAACCACTACTTTGCTGCAGTGACAGACAATAAAAAAGAAATGCTAAAAAATAAATAAAAAATAAATTAAAAAATTGCATTATTCCGTACCTTTTCGCAGGCTACCATTAGTCAATTCTATTTTTATGTCTTTTCCGCAGCGTTTTGTGTGTCCCGCGACCAAACCACTCTCCACGATACCGACACTCCAAGTGTCGGTATCGCTGTTGCCAGACGCCCAATTTCGAGCCGCCCAACAATAACTCACCGTCTCGCCAAGGAACATCTCCGCCCGCCCACAGGCCCGACCTGCTGAACCGCCCACAATCCCGGCGCCAGAGCGCACCACCGCCGCCGCCGCCGCCTCTAACTCACCCGCACGTGCAGCACGCGCCGCTCGTACCAGCCGACATAGTGTCCGGTGAGGAGCAGGTCGAACCGGACGGCCGCCGGGGACGGCACGAGCAGGCGGATCAGCCGTCCGCGGCTCCACAGGCCGGCGTCCCGCGCGCCCTGCGGGTATGTCACCTGGCCCGGGCCGTGCGGCTGTCCCTGCGAGAACACGCCCTGCCCGGTGGCGGGAAGTCAAGACGCGGCCGGCTGACGTGGGGACAGTTGTGGGCGCTCTCGTTGTAGGTGTTCTGGTGGGGCCTGCGTGCATGCATATGGTGCGCTGCGTGCACTGGCCCAGCGCGCACGTCAACGGAGGGCAGCACTATACTCGCCGTAGCGACAGCTTCTCGGGTTGTAGCATGACAAAGTCCCAGGAAAGATTGTCGGCACGTAGTGTATCAACCCCGGTGTTAACACCGCTAAACACAGCCCATATTTAAAAACTGGTCCGAGTTGACGCCACAAATCTTCCCCTCCCCCTCCCCCCTCCTGGTACGGCACGGCTATTTTTTTTTTAGGAACGTTAATATCTTGCGTTACGTCTCAAGTTGTCCCACAAAGCAGCTGGCTGCCGTCTGTCTGGTTACCTGGAAACGAAATTGATGCGATTCAGCCAATGTCCACTTCAATAGCTCAGCTGGCTAGGGTACCTGCCATTCGATTTCTCTGCCCGTGTTGGGGTCGGGTCGACTCACTTTAGGCGCTGGCTTTTTGCCCCTAACTGGGAAGGCCTTTGCCCAGTGGCAACGGCGTCGAAAAAGGTCAGGTGACGTCAGAGGACGTTGCCAGACGTGCCGAGCACTGCGTCACGTTAAGTTGTCGCCGGAAAATTATGACGCGTTGACCCAAAATTTCGCAATAGGATGGTAATGTAAACGATCATGCAATAAGCACCACTTGGCGTGGATACAAGTTACAGAAATGCATCGACTTAGAACGTTCGGACTAAATATTATAAAATGAGAATTTAGCTATGTTGTTATGTAGTGCAGTACTTTACTGCATGCTGTTAATGCCTGCTAATATTTTGCTGCTGTTTTACTGACCCAAAAAGGGAAAGGTGACACAAAATGAATCAATGACATGATGTAATATTTCAGTTAGCTTAAACAGAAAACCTTTTAAGTGCTACCAATCAACTGCGTTTACCAGAACTTGCAGGTGCAAACTATTCCGTTTCCGTTTTCAGCACTTTCTGCTGCCGATCGCGTGAACTCACAACAGGCCGTAATTTAATTTTCCGCCTGCTGTTAAACTGTTTTGAATCACAGGGAGAGGCCTGCAACCTTTCAAGCCTCCAGTGACCTCAAGCAATCTTCTCGCCTTCACATTGCACTGGTCTCCTTCTGGGCGGCGGGGAATACCTCAGAGTCCATGTAGGCCGAACTCGCTAGCCCTCAGTCTGACCTGGAACTCCGCGCCGCTGGGGCAGGTCATTCGACCGCAGTACTCGGCTGTTCCGGCGTACAGGTACCCCAGGTACCTGTACCCGTCCGGATGCAGACAGGCACCACGTCCGTGCTGATTCTCCAACTTGTACTGGCCGGCGTACCTCTGTAAATCCAGCACAACGCATGGTGGAACCAAACTAATTTGTGTTAGCTTCGAAATGGCTTCCAATAAAGTTGACATATTGGACCTAACCAACTGGACAGGGTGCAAAACAGCACAGGCTGCGGCATAGTGCTCACTCATAACCAGGATAGAGAGCACTGAATGCAACATTCGCAGGCTCTGATGATTAGAGTGATGCGCGTATACGCGCGCGCACTCACGCACACGCACACACACGCACCCACGCACGCACGCACGTACGCACACCGATCTGAGAGGCCTTTACTTTGTAGCTGACAGGGTTGCACACTGACTGTCATACTTCCTCCCCCCCCCCCCCGCAACCACCCACCCCCCAAAGTATTAGTAGTCAGACATCACATAACACACTTGAGAAACTCAAGCGCAGAACTCCGTACGAGTGCGTGGCGCAGAATGGCTGTACGTGGTGGGAGGTGAACGTATGAGTAAGGGCTTAGGGCTAACAAAACACCATTGCATTTTTGTTTTTTTAGTTGCGTCAATCTGTGAAGCTCACATGGCGCATCCTTAGCTTTTGATCTGAAGCTCCCCAGTGCTATCGTTAACAACACCACTCAGTGGAGCGCAGCGCGGCACTTCGCAATAATCTTGTTAGAGCGGGGCTGCAGGCTAAAATGTCTGACTTGAACTGTGAGAAAATTTGAGCGGACAGAATCAGTCGTGATTTCTAGAAGATGATGTTTTCGCGCGCTTATTACTTTTAGCATCAAAAAGCTTATTTTTGAAAATTTGTGATGCGTAGAGTCTTAGTCCCCAGCACACCAGCTGTGTTTTCCCCAAAATATTGCCATTCGACGACGACGACTTTACCTTCCCCTCTGGAGTAACATGGAAAATGTGAAACGCCCACCTTACAAAAATTACCATTTTTGATCCTATGCATTGCAAGGCGTGATTCGAAACCTGCACGGAGCTCGCCGACGCATCTTCGAAGCGACACCAAACTAACATGAACTAACGTTGGCTAAGCAGGCATTTACTTAAGACGCGCTCGGGTGTTGGGTAAATTTATTCCCCCACCACGGAGTTCTTTCCAGAACAACTTCCAAATCACGAGGTGTGGCCGCGCCAAACTTTGTATAGCTGTCGGTAACTGAATATGCGATCTTTTGGCATGAGAATATCTATATTGCAAGGTGGCAAGGTTGCTGACCTATAGCAGAGCAAAGTCAGGTCATGCCTATCAGCGGAGGCCATTCCCGAGGATTCGCTCAACATGATGCGATAACGCGATAGAGAAGTGCAAGACGAAGTCACACAACGTTGAGATGACTTTTCAGACAATAAGATAATCAAATTAAGCTTGCAGCTGATGTCATGTACCTTGGGTCAGGTATAACGGCCAGGTCAGGAAGGTCAAAACCAAACCGTTTTTCCTGAGAAACTTGCGTGATGTGTTTTTTATGTTCGTTTCAAATACCCGGATCACTAGGACGTCCAAAGATGTCTTTCTATGGCTCCATGAAGGTCAGGAAAGATCATTGGCCAAAAAATCACCTCTATCATCATTTGCTTTCGACAGCATGTCAGCTAGGGAGAAACTCTGTGCCGACTGCAAATTCAAGTATCAAAATAATCTCGAAGTGGTTTTGGTCATATCTATCTTATGAATGTAAAAAAGATCGCTGCCTTGCTATGAAGACCTTTCGCTAAAATAGATACAAGGACTAAAGCTGGTCATATGAGAAAGCCTGAAGAAAATTCGTACACAGACCCGGAATTTCACCATGTCTGACGCTATCTGACCCACAGGTCACGACCTAGAGACTTTCAAAATTGACGAAAATAATTTCACCTAGAGTCCTACCTGCAATGTGAATATGATGTCTCCAGACCTCCTAGTTTTTTACATCTCGGACCGAGCGCGTGCTCACAGATCATCGCATACATGTGCGAGTCAATATGCGGACAGTCGCGCACACTCGTGCCCAAGGCATGGTGACATCCATTCTGGGGTGTGTTCAGGGATTTATGTCAGCGCTGCGCAGCCAGTGCAGATGAAGGTGTAAAACCAACCACTCTGTTTGGATGCATGTGCCGTTCACAACTCGCAGACGAGCAAAGCACTATCCAACTTACCTTGTAGTCAATAATCGGTTCCCAGGTGGGTCGGATAGTGAAGGAAGCGAGCAGAAAACTTTTCCTGAAAACTATCTCAAATACGAGACGCCGCGGCTGAACCGAAATAGATTGGCCCATGACAACGGCTTAGGTGCATTGTCCCGTTCATAATGAACAATGCCCACCAAAATATTCGCGCGCTTTTCTTTTTGCCCTACGCTGCTCACAATTCCAAAGACTGGAAGGCCGTGCGAATTCATACATGTTCTCATAAAATTACCCAGCCTGGGTGCAATCATATGCAGTCATTTCTGAAGCATATGATTAATCTCCGTCGATCATTCATGAACTGGTGAACGACTGAAACATCAGTGAACATAAGCCTAGTAACTCTCCATGAAACATAATTTTTCTTCCTCATTGGTGAAAGCTGTTGGCATTGGTTGCCCGATGTGTCTTGTCTGTTGTTGGCATCATTGACATCCCAGCTGACATCTATCATATCTTGCACCGCCCCGCTCTTCCCAAGCCACATCAGGCGTCTCACGGGTAATAAGATAAGGTACTCTGCTGTAATATTCCAATGCCCCTTAAATCGTATAGCCTGATCGTTGTAAAACGGCCAGCCTATGGGGTAAAACGGATAGCAATGTAGCAAAGAGGTAGTAAAAACCCAAAGAGGTAAACGTATGCTTTGGAAGTAAAGTCTCAATAAAAAGTCTCAATACATGTATTGTGATGCCACATCGGACTGGAATGCTTCACATAGATTATCAATGCTGACTCAGCCATAGGCATAGATTATCAATACTGGCTCAGCCATAGGCACTCTTACCGTGAGTTGTGACAACTCACACGCCTGACATATTTACACGACTTTGCTCATATTCTGAATGGTTTGCAATTTGAACGCATGGAGGCAATTAAACACCGCCTGCACATATGCATGTCTTTATCCACACATTTGTAGTCTACTCCACTAGTTGGAGTAGCGATGACGTCATATTAAGTAAAAATTCACTTCACTGTTTGGGACTTACTACCAAAAATATTGGTAATAACCAAAAAGATTTGGGTACTGAAAACAGAAGCGACAATTCGGGTGAAATTGTGTAACTCTTGATTTCAGTCTTCACCTTTTTGATGATCTAAAAACATTTTATGTTTATGCTTTGAATTGTTTGTGGTTATATGTGCGTGGGTTTGTTGTTATCTAAGAGGTTGTCCGCATTTAGTGTGCCAAAATGACACAAGGAATATACATGTATGCGGTACTGGGGAAGTCTTTCATGACCTGTCACGTGACGTTTTGATCACCTGTTATTAGCATCAGAGCTTGTGGCGTAGAATCCTAGCACTACTACACCTTCCATGTAGATGACTGGCCTGGGCAACACTGCTCGGGGGGGGGGGGTAGATTCACAAAATAAGTTGGGGTGGGATGGGGAGGCTGAGCAGAAAAAGGGCCAAAATATCCGCCGAAGTACGCTTAAGACAGTTTGCAACCAATTTCACACACTTTCCTATTAAAGGGAGTTTTTCCACATTTCTATGGGGTTTGAACCAAAATAGCCGCCTTGAAGATCTTTTGCTGTAGTTTGCAGCAAAACTTGCAACAGTTGCAGTTCGGGCTTGCCTGGCTTGCCTTGCCTTGCCTTTCCCATCTTACGACATAAACTCCTCTAGTTTTTAGGTACACAGACGCAAAAGTAGGAGGCATATTCAGGGAGAGAATTTTAATCCCGCCCTGGCATTGATGACGTCATAATAACGTCATTCAAGTCCTGCCATTTCATAAGGCATGCGACGATCGAGACGGGGACAAATAAAGTGGTCGAGTCGTTCATATCTGGCGTTGATTAGCACGATTTCCAGATATAACGGCCGTCAATTGGCCCTCGATTAATGTTGCGCAAGGTACGATGATATAATCAAGCAATGACGTGTCGGGGAGCATATTTACTTTACAGAGAAATTATTTTGCCGTGAGCAGTTTTTCCTACGTAGTAGTCTATTAACAGTTATCATTGAGCTTTCTTCACCATACCTGATAGTCCAGTATCTTCAAAGGTGAAAAATTATTTTTAATGGACCCACCATCTAGTTAATTGGAAATTACACCCGTGATACTGGTGAACTCTGGAGGAAGGTTTCTTTTCGAATGCACGTCGATCCTGCACTCAACGTGACGCTGGGAGGATATACACTCCCGTTTACCCTCCGATGGTGCGGCACAGTATAACTGCTCATTTCGTTCTCGACGGGGAACTTCACGCCTGTGTCAGCCGCGAAACAGATTCACAAACTCTCGCACAGGCTTGTGAGCCACCGCTGCCAGCCACCACGCCCGGATATCGGAATAAATCAGACCTGGGCGCGCTTTGGCACGCCAGAACATCCACCGCTTCACCAGCGCAGCCACATCGGCCACGGTGCAGCATCAGACGAACATCCGTGCTAGTGCGGCAGCATTAGACGAACATCCGCGCCAGCCCGGCAGCATGTGATGAACATCCGCGCCAGTCCGACAGCATTAGACGAGCACCCGCGCCAGTCCGACAGCATTAGACGAACATCCGCGCCAGTTCGGCAGCATGTGGTGAATATCCGCGCCATTCCAGCAGCATTAGACGAGCATCCGCGCCAGTTCGGCAGCATGTGATGAACATCCGCGCCAGTCCGACAGCATTAGACGAGCATCCGCGCCAGTCCGACAGCATCAGACGAACATCCGCGCCAGTTCGGCAGCGTGTGGTGAATATCCGCGCCATTCCAGCAGCATTAGACGAACATCCGCGCCAGTTCGGTAGCATGTGATGAACATCGGCGCCAGTCCGACAGCATTAGACGAGCATCCGCGCCAGTCAGACAGCATTAGACGAACATCCGCGCCAGTTCGGCAGCATGTGATGAACATCCGCACTAGTCCGGCAGCATTAGACGAACATCCGCGCCAGTCCGGCAGATTCAGGCGAACATCTGTGCCTGTCTGGCAAAATCAGACGAACATCCGTCCCAGTCCGGTAGCATCTGATGAACATCCGCGCCAATCCGGCAGCATCAGCCAAACATCCCGCGCCAATCCGGTGGCATCAGACGAACATCCGCGCCAAGCCGGTAGCATCAGGCGAACATCTATGCCAGTTCGACAGCATCAAACGAACATCCGCGCCAGTCTGGCTAAACCAGACCAACAGCCGCCCAGTCCGGTAGCATATGATGAACATCCGCTCCAGTCCGGCAGAATCAGACGGACATCCGCGCCAGTCCGGCCCCGCGCGGGGACAAGCTCGACAATCGCGGCGAGTCACGGCATGTGACCGTGGACGCGACTGCAGGCAGGGCGGATGACTCCGCTGGTATTGAGATGGTGTGACGAGACGAGCGCCTCTTCCCAGACCACGGGAACAGGAAACACGCGAAGCGATGTACTGCTCACACTGAGCCACAGCTCTGCTCACATAGTCGAACGGAAAACGCGGAGTAAAAGCGGTCCAGATCATTTCCCTTGGCTTGGATGTGAATACGCGTCAAATGTTTTCTCTGATGTAGGACATTTCACGTCTATTTATGTTCACATCACTTATTAGGCTGCTTTGCCTTGCTACAGGAAATGCACATCTTCCACGAACCTGGCTTTGAAGTTTGCGGTAGATTTTAGGCTTTTCACTTCAGATGACGCGAATTTCTTGACTGATCACTCACGGAGCTGCATAAAATAGTGCGTCGCAAAAGCAATGTCAGCTATTGCCATGTCATGTGACCAAACATTTTTTTCGGTAACCGGCGAAATTGGAGAATATAAGCATAAACTATATATAATATATGCTTATATATAGAATATATACTTATATATAATATATGCTTATATATAAATGATATGCTTGGGTGGTTTTGAATAGCAGGAAAATAGAAAAGTGATACAAAAGTATGTTGGGAGTTTCATCGTGATATTACATGACATTCCATGCACCAGAAAATTATGTTTAACGTTATCGAACAAACATGAGCTATATTGACAGGACTTGGCGTTTCTAACCGTGCTCATGGTTACGAGCAAACAATGTTAAGCAAACAATTCCATTTCAAACCCAGAGTTGAGGACACATGCTTTTTTGCAGTTTGTCCCAATTTTGTTCATTCGTGACCATGAACACAGCTTGAAGCGTCGAGCTCTATCAATATAGCCAATGTTTGCATGGTAACGTTCTTTAACTAGCATCTCCTGATATATTGGGCGCCGGTGATTACTTTATTGAGAAATGCTAGCTCATACTGCCAAAAAGCAGCGCAAAGCATTTCCCCATGTATCAAGGACTTAAACATTGTAATTTTGTGTTTTCCTAGTATCGAACAAGGATCCCTGCGCCACCATGGCCACAGCACCGCTTAGGTCAGCGTAAAGCTTTAGCTTTATGTTGTAGTTCACCCGGGGGAAAATTATAGAAGCCGCACAACAAGCCTCAGATTGCAGCCCGGTGGATTGCAGCGAGGACGCACACATGCCTAAAGCCGTACAAATAATTTGAAAGCTGCCTAAGGTGAACTACCACTGACCTGACCTGACGGGAAGTAGTCGGTGCCGGCACAGCCCCGAGCGCCCAGCGCGTCCAGCCGACCTTCAAAGCAGGCGGTGGCGAGCATTGCGCAGCGCTTCGACAACCAGTACACCTGTGGTCAGGTCAGGAAGCGATCACAGCAATACGCCAATGCTGCGGAGCTCGCCGTACTACATGCGTGCGCCATTGTTCACTCGGGTGCGCCATCGTCACACTCGCGTGAAAATTACTCGCGTGCGCCATCGTTCACTCGGGTGCGCTGTCGTTCACTCGTGAAAAACGCCATGCATGATGCACGTCTTACCCATGAGCAAGTCGTGCATCATGTTTTACCATCACCATATTTTATGTCATCATCAGTTGCATATGTATATGATATTGTCATGGATGGTAGCATTGTGTGCTCATAAAACTGGAGAGCATTTCCGTTCAGTGAAACTGATCTGAAATGACCTTTCCTCTTTGTCAAATGGTAATCTGTGTTGCATTTCACATGTATGCGCAAAGAGTGAATAAACCTCATACGCTCTCAGGAAGCTCTTTAAGGGATTAGGCATTCAGAAGGTTAGGTTATGTTAGGTCATTGACTCACAGACGTCACGTGACGTTTGTCGTAGTTTACACTTTTTGTTTGCGTTTTCCGTACATTCCGCTACGGCTTATATTTGCACGTCTCGTCGGCATGGGAATAAGCGCCGAACTGCAACATTTTTATTTCAAATATTAATTCAAAAAGATGTTTTATGCATAAATAGTGTTTACCAGAGTATTTCTTGATATTACAGGCTGTTATATATTCTGATATTTTCTTTTATGCTCGCGTCCATCTGCTTAGCAAAATGTCTCTACAATAGCCCGTTGATACAAACGCACTACTCCAAATTCCAGAATGACCCACACCTGTCAGTGTCTTGCAGATGGCGTGTCCGGCCGCTGAGGGAGGACATGGAGGCGCACACCTCTAGTTCCCAACCCGCAATGAAGGTGTGAAAGGCATCAATCTAAATACCCGACAACTTTCAAGAATACTGGCCAGATAGCGCTTGCTTGGCCTACCTTATGTCTTCTTAGTTGCACTTTTAAAGTTGGCATGTTAAGTGATTTACCTTGTATATGTAATATTGCGGGCCATCAACATGCGTATTAAGCTTCCAGCATGTTATTATCTTATCTAGTGACTTATTAAGGAAGAAAATGCAAGTTGTCTTGATTTTCATCCGTTTAGTTTGAAATAAAAGCAGATATATTAGATTATCGTTTGTGAGATGATTCTCTCAACCTACAATTATGACGTTTTGGTTAAACACAACGTTGATCAGGATGCGCAAACAAAGGAAAGAACGGTCGCCAGTGCCCACGCGTGTGTGTCAGTGGCCGCCAGCGTTTGCACTTGAAAAAGTAGACAAGAATTTGTGATACGTTACCCGCCGGCTTGCCTGTTGGGGAATGAACCAGCTGCAGAGCAGCATCATTTAGTTATGTCGACCGCCGCGCGTTTTTTTCGTCGACGCGCAATGTTGTAAGTCTGCGTGTTATGAAATGCGCAAATTACGACGTGTTCTAGTTGTGAATGGATTCATGCAGGACTTGGAGCATGATTTGGTGGCAATGCTCCCAAAAAACCACTAGGTACGCCATGTTTTTGAAGAACAGGCTATTCGTCTCCTGCTTCTTGTGGTTTCGTTTCTATGTAGTGTCCAGTTCAGGTTGAAACGTAAGCCAGTATATATGATACTACGCCAGGCAGTGCCACAGCTGCATACTTAACGTGCGCTCGGTTGGGGGTCAAGTTGTCCCGCCGAAGGTTTTTCCAGAATTATTTCTGAACGACGCGGCGTAGCTGCGCTAAACTTAACATACTGTAGAGCATTAAATAGCAGACTTTTTAATGTAAAAATTAGACGTACCTTGTGAAGTCACTGACTCATGACAGGTCAAAATCTGTCCATGGTTGTCAGCGAAAGCATTTCTAGAGAATCGTTCAATGTGAAGCGACAATGGAGTGTTAAACGAAGTCATACGGATCTGAAATAGTGTCTTAGGAAATAAATCAATTGAACTTATAAACTCGACTTATTTCACTGACCTAGGGTCAGGTATGAAAGTCAGAAGAAAGTCAAAACTGATCTGCTCTTTTATGCGAGGGCTTGGCTTCATGGGGTAGTTTCTGGTGCTCATTTCGAATCTATTAGTGACCGTGACCGCAACAGACATGCTGCTCGCACTTTTTACGGCTCAGAGTAGGTCACTGACCTAAAATGACCCAGGTCAGCTTTTTTTTGTTTTTAGGAGCATACCACCTAGCGTAATCCCTGACGTTTGTTCGAGTGACGAAATAGGAGCACTCTCGTAGGCATTTGCTCGCCTTGGCCTTATAAATATCAAACAAGGTCACTCACCTCATGGAACTTTTGCTTAGAGCATGTATCTAACTTCATGGTGGTCGCATGAGAAAGTTGGAGGGTACATTGTAGGCTTATCTGGACACCAGCCTTATTTAACCTCCTTTGGCCCCAAGGTGGTGTCCTAGGAATCTCAAATTTTGACACAAGTGAGTTTAGGTACAGGCTAACGTACCCTAGAAGTTTAGTGCCTCTAGCTGCCTTAGTTTTTTAGAGTTCAGAGAGATTAAATTGACCCCATCCGAGCGAAGGGTATTACAGATACAACCGGTCACCTGGAACAGGCACGGCAGGAAGGGTACCACCGGTCACCTGGACACAGATTAAAATAGATCGCTCACAAACACGGGGTGGCTTTTTACTTGACAGCCACTTCTAAAACAGTGGTCATTTTCTGGTACCAACTTAATCTGGAATAATCTGCTCAGTAGCATGCATGCTCTATGGTCTAAGATGCCTTTTTATCACTCATAATTGAAATAAATGTTTTTTCTGTGCGATCACTGGCCCTTTGATAGGACTGTTGCCAAAATTGTTGTAAATTGACTTATTTTCTCCGGAAAGTTTCCCTTTTCAATCAGTTCACTGAGTGTGGCGTAAAAAGTTTCAAAAATATATATATATATATATATATATATATATATATATATCCGTGTGTGTGTGTGTGTGTGTGTGTGTGTGTGTGTGTGTGTGTGTGTGTGTGTGTGTGTGTGTGTGTGTGTGTGTGTGTGTGTGTGCGTTTATGTAGGCAAGCCAGAACAGAATCGGGTCTTTCATTTTGCGAGCTGCGTGGGCCATGAGCTATATGATTAAATACAAGGAATAAGTCGAATAAAACAAAAATGGAACGGCTATAAGTCGTAAGCCGAATCAGATATCAAGATCTGTGAACCAGTCCTCAACCAACTCAAGAAATTTAAGTCGCACAAAAGTCTGCTCAGAGATGTATGGCTTCATCTAACCCTCCGTTGTTGTTTCAGATTGAACGATGTCCTGGGAATTGCCTTCGCTGACAGCCATGGCCTGACTTTTATCTGCCGCAGCTTAGCAACCTTACAAAGTAAATCTAAGTTTTTGATACCCAAAGAATGTAATACCAAAAATATCAAAAGATTATCCATTAAATTGGCTACAGCTTTGTATAGTTGGGCGTAGCCACGTCGCACCGTTCGGAAGTTACACTGGGAGAAAGCTTGGATGGGGTCAAGTTGATCACCCGAGCGCGTGCTATTACATCCCATAAATGATCTTAATGCCTAGCAGAGAAAGATGGGGCGGATGCCAATTCTTGATATCACCGAGCCATAAAGTAGATGGCGCAACTTCAGCTTGTGGTGCGGAGTTCGATAATGGAGTGTTCATGCAGCACTGCCTGCTCAAACTCTCTAGGTGGGTGAAATGCCTTTTCGTAAGACAGAGAAGAAGTAACCATGCTAACGAGTCCACCTCGTGGATTTTGTTCTGCGATAAGCGAATTCAATCATAGCTGACAGTAAAATAATGCTTAAACACTGCATGCATGATGTCACCAAAAAGCATGACACCGAAAGCTATATATGTAGACGAACCAATTTCCATCAACATTTACTAGTGCTCAGCTCAGCAGCACCACAGCACATTTTCACAGACGAACAAAATGACGGCAGCCAGCTGCGCGAAGCAGCCAACTACTTCCTCTCTCGGACGTTAAGCGGGAATCGGTTGAGCGCATTGTCGTAGTTCATCCGGTACGTGGCGTCAGGCTGGGTGCGCAGCAGCGGCCCCTGCCACATGTCGGTGGTCTTCGGCAGCGGCCGGGGCTTGAAGTCGTACGTGTCCAGCGCGAACCGTACTGCCTGCCGGATGTTGTAGTGGCTGTCCTCGGTCGGAATGGGGTTCTTCTTCCAGACCTCCTCGTACCAGCGGTGCCGGCTGGCCGGACTGGAGCGGATCGGCTTGGTCAGCATGTCACAGCGCACCCTGAAGCCGGCCTTGAGCAGCTCTTCGGCGCCGTCGCGCACCTGCGGCAGCCAGTCCTGGCGCGCGGCGGACGGCTGCGGCGCCGGCAGGCCCATCGACGTGTCGGTGGCGCTCGACTGGCCGTCGTCGATGTTCACCAGGTCGCGCATCGTCTCCTCCAGCGAGTCGTAGCTGTCGGAGCGATCGTCGACGGAGCGCGAGCGCGGCGGCCGGCAGCGCGCGCCCACCTTCTCGAAGAAGTCGCGTGTTCCCTCGTCCGACTGCCCCCAGCCGTGGCTCATCTGGCTGCGACAGCGCGAGCGCTGCGTCGCCTGACTGCGGTCCTCCGGGATCGACTCGAGCTCGGAGCGCCGCGGCCGGCGGCAGTCGGTGCCCCGGCGGCCGCGGCTAAAGCTGGAGCGGTCGGTGCCGCTGCGGCTGCTGGTCTCGTAGTTGACCAGCCGCTGCAGGTCGCGCGTGAACACCTGCAGCTCCTTCTTGGGGATGTTGGTGTAGCCCAGCTTCTCCAGATGCTCTTTCACTTTTTTGGGTGTGAGGTGGCTCATTGTGATGATGCTATGGATTTAAGTTGATTTGAGCTTCGTCTTCGAAAAGGAAGAAAAGGACGCGGCGGTTCAAGCCAGTCTGAAAAGAGTGTGTAACCATCGTTAGCTTGACACATTTCGTCTTTGTCGAACCAATATTTAGTAGGCCATTTGTGCTCAGCCGAAACTCAGGCATTGAT